AGGAGGAGGAGGAGGAGGAGGAGGAGGAGGAGGAGGAGGAGGAGAAGAAGAAGAAGAAGAAGAAGAAGAAGAAGAAGAAGAAGAAGAAGAAGAAGAAGAAGAAGAAGAAGAAGAAGAAGAAGAAGAAGAAGAAGAAGAAGAAGAAGAAGATCAAAACAGATTCCAGTTAATGTTCAGTGCTGCAGATTTGCCTGTTTCAAGGAGTAAAGACTCCTGAAATAATTGTGTGTGGGTCTGGAGAAGGCCACTGAAGAAGGAAGGTGGATGAAAAGATCATTAATAAAGGAAAACCATTGTAGCTCAAGGGTTGAAATGGAGGGTCCTTAGTGCTCTCTGAGCTTGGTTGTTTTCTTGCAGATTCTTCATTACCCAAACTAGGTAACATCATCAGTGGGAAGAGATCATCCAATATCAGATTAATGAAGACTCTTTGCTAGACATCTATTAATCTTATAGTTATTACATTAAAAAAAGAATGATCAAACCCTTTCCAATATACCGTGTTGTTAATATAGTAACAATTTTGCACACCAAATGCATCCAATAATTTAATTTTATGTATATCAAATTTATGTTACTTTTCCAAACCAGAATTCTAAGTGACATTAATTAATATTATTAAAAATATCAATAAATTCTATAATTTAATATTTTTTAAATAAAACAGCACCATAAGCTGCCTTGTAATCAAAGCAATGCTACCAGAAGATAATTAAGAGGAGATTCCTGTGTATGCATGGCTAAGAAACAAAGATTAGGAGGAAAATCATAAGATTACCAATATCATAAGCAAAGTTCAGGAGATAAGAGAGAATTTCTAATTCTTTATCTAAATCCCATTGCCCTTGTAATCAGCAGGTTATAAGGTCTAAAATCACATACTCAAGTTAAACTATACTTTCTAAGGAACTATTGATTCTTGCATCTTCCAGAGATTCTTCACTGAGATATATCACCTACTGCAACTTATCTTTCTCCACAATCCATGACTCCCACCTATAACTGGAAGCTATTCTGATCATATCTTTATGTATCAGCAGCCCTCAGTACTATCAAATACTAAATAGTTTCAGTATGAACCAATCAATACTCAAAACACTGAAAATTACACATCAGAAATCTAATATCCTTGAGTGTCAAACAAAACTCAACACATTCACAGAGAGCTGGAAAATGTTCAAACGTTCAAAGAAGTTCTAGACCAGGGGTGTCAAATTCAAGGTCCGGGGGCTGGATATGGCCGCGGGTTGCTTAGATCTGGCCCGTGGGGCTGCCCTGAAAATCGTGAAGGACCAGCCCGCGATGCCTCTGTCAGAAAAAATGGAGCTCAGGAGGGCCATGGGCAGCCTCCTGCACTCTGTTTTCAGTGGCAGAGGGTTGCTGGAGACCAGGGGTGGGATTCTACCAGTTCGTACCTATTCACTAGAACCAGTTGTTAACATTCGAAGCAGTTTGGAGAACCGGTTGTTAGAAGAAATTACTGGCCTAATCCTGTAAAGAAGGCAAGAAGGAAACATTCTGGTGTTGCTTACAGAAACTGCCTCTCCGTTAACCCTTATTACATTCTTGGCAGGACTAGATTTCCTGTCTCAGGAACGTCTCTGGAGTTTTTTTCCCCTCCTTTGCTGGTACTTTGCTTGTGTGGAGTGACCATTCAAAGTTACAATGGCACTGAAAAAAGTGACTTATGACCATTTTTCACACTTACGACTGTTGCAGCATCCCCATAGTCATGAGGAGCCAGGCGAGGAGATGCGTGCCTCGATGTGAGTGATATTGAGTTGGCCATGCCCAGCCAATAACATGACCACCAAGCCACGCCCACCAGTCACATGACCACCAAGCCATGCCCACCAACTAGGCCACGTCCACAGAACCAGTTGTTAAAAATTTTGAATCCCACCCCTGCTGGAGGCCATCGCAGCTGAAAATCTCGATGCCCAGAGGATGTTCCAAAAGGTAGAAGAGAGCAGAGGAGACCAGATGAAAGGGTTCTTTATAAAAGCATGTGTACAAAAGCTTGAGGAGGGAAGGGATAACTAGCCTGTGCTGACCTTCAACAGGTATTTTAATAAGCAAATTTATTAAGCAAAAAGGGCTGTAAATTTTTAGCAAAACTATAATTCACAGGATTCTTTTCGGAGAAGTAGGACATGGAAAAATGGAAACATGTCTATGGGGATTCTCAGTCATCCAAATCATAGTTGTCTCAAAAATGCTTATTCTTTGAAGAAGAAGAAGATATTTCATTTCTTATCCAGGAAGCTTCATCAGTTCTGACTGGATGAGGGGGGGATGGAAGGATAGGTTCTGTCAGGGTGTGGGGGGAGAGATGGAAGGATTGTATTTCTTTGCACTCATCTGGTCATTAACACTCTGAGTACTAACTGAATGCCATCTGCTGTCGGTGGCACTCTGATCCCATCAACTGCATAGCATAAAATAACAGAGTTGTAGGGGACCTTGTAGGTCATCTAGTCCAACCCCCTGCTCAAGCAGGAGACCCTATATTATTTCTGACAAATGGCAGTCCAGTCTCTTCTTGAGAGCTTCCAGTGATGAAATTCCCATAGCTCCTGAAGGCAAGATGTTCCATTGGTTGATTGTTCTCACTGTCAGAAAATTTATCCTTATTTCAAGGTTGAATCTCTCCTTGATCAGTTTCCATCCATTATTCCTTGTCGGGCCTTCAGCTGATTTGGAAAACAGGTTGAACCCTTCCTCTCTGTGGCAGCCCCTCAAATATTGAAACACTGCTATCATGTCTCCCCTGGTCCTTCTCTTCTCTAGATTGGCCATGGACAGTTCCTGTAACAGTTCTTTATATGTTTTAGCTTCCAATCCCCTAATCATCTTGGTTGCAAATACAACAAAGAAATACAATCTACCCACCCGATCATAACCTATCCTTCCATCCCCTCCACCATCCAGTCATAATTGATGATGCTTCTTGGATGAAAAACAAAATATTGTCTTCTTCTTCAAGGAAAAAAAAAACAGTTTGGTTGCCTTTTGAAAAAGCACTTCAGAATATGGGAAGTGATAGGATGCACTCCTGATAATAAATATTATTGGAGAAGTTGAAGAACTTCACCTATTTTATTTTTTCATTGCAAAAATCTGTACATGTGTTATAATGAGTGTGATTCACCTCCCCTTTGTCTCTTCTCCTCTTTGACCTCCTGCAGCAGCAATCATTTTCTTCTTCATTTGAAAGGCAAATCTTTACAGGAGGGGGAAAAAATCACCCAAATGTTAAGGTCGTGGTGTGTGTGTGTGTGTGTGAATCTCCCATCAACACAAGCAAAGAAATGGCAGCCTCGTTTTGCAAATCTAAGCGTGCTAGTCCAAAGGTAAACTAAAATGTACTTTTTAAACTGACATCAAACCTTGAGATTAGAGGTCAGGTAAAGCTACACAGTGGGATAACTATGTGGTTTTTCCAAGTGCTTGCTAGATTTTAGGCTAGCTTGAGAGGAGTTTAAAAGGTTATGAAGGGTTTTGCTGACCTATTTTTTTTTCCCAGGCACACATCCCTTTAATCTCCTTTGGAGACACCGTCTCAGCACAAAAGGCTGGTACAGCAGCTCAGCAGGAACCTGGATTTTGACATGGAGCAACTTGTCCTGAGGAGATTAAAAACACAGTTGGGCAAACAACTTTTAGGAAGACAAGCTGATCTCTGTTCCTTTGAAACACTTGCTTTATCGTGTGTGGTGGCCTCTCACGGTATATTCTAAGCATTGTGAAAATGTCTTTTCGTCAGTATTTTTGGTCATTACATGCAAATGTTTTCTTCATACGAGGAGTGGCAGGGAGAAACAAAAATCATAAGGGTAACCTTTGAACTCAGCGCTCCTGAATTCTACAAATTGAGGTGTAGATTGGCTGAAAGGATCCAACTGGTGAATCAGAAAATAGGGATTATGGATCGTACAGTTGTATTTTATTTAACCAATATTCCCTCCCCCACTCTTACATTTTATCCTCATGGCATTTAGGAAGTTTTTTTGAATCCTGTAAATTGAATCCAGTCTATATTTTGGAATAAGATTGTATTTACTGACGTAGCATGTAAAGGCCATGGATGGTTCTAATTACCCCCAAATATACAGTATATATATCCATATTATAATAAATAAAAAATTGCCTTTTCTAATAGCTATGGCTGGAATTCTGGGAAATACTTCCGGAGGTCACTGAATAGGGAAAAACTCACTGAGATATTTCTGGGGGGGGTGGGGGGACAATTTCAGAACTCAATTCTGTCTAGGAAGTGAAATGCCCTTCCAGACTAGATATGGTCAGAGAGGCTGAGTTTAGGGCTTGGTGGGGGTTCATAATGTTTTTCTGCCTAAAATAGGGCAAAATGGTTCCCTCACTCTACTAAAATGCTTACTGGCCAAAGCTGGCCAAGTTATTTTAGCACCTGTGGGAAAAATCCTATGGGAAAATACCATTTCCTTGGGAAATATAAATAGATTATGTATAGTAATTTGTGTTCCTGTTAGTACCCTCAAAGCAAGACGAGGCAATGGCTTCATTCCGCCCAAAGAAGGAGAGTTGACCCATAGGAAAGTAACATTAAACATGTTCTAAGAGTCCTCTTCATCTTAGTTAGATCATCACTGTCTAAGAAATAAGGTTTTATTTGGAAAATGAATTTTGAAGCTAAGCAGGAGGCTCTAAACATGGTGTCCATTCACAGCAGAATAGCAAAGCGAAGGCCAAAAAAAAGAAAGAGAGGAAAGATCCCTTTGGGATTATAATATACAGACTCAGCAAAGAAACTGTAAGCAGAAAGCAAAGCGGGGAAGTCAGCAGAATTATTGTGATACCAATATGCTGCAAAACAAAAGGTTAAAGGTGGAAAATCAGGGAACAGACTGGAGATTGACAAGAGAGGGAAACAGCAAGGTTTGGTAGTAACTCTAACTGACTTTCCACGGAGTAGAGTTCCAGGCTGCAGCAAGGTTACAGATACTGCAGGACTCGGCATTTTTCTCCCACTTTATAATTATGAGCATAAAGATATAACCAGGAAGTAAGAATCAGTCATAGAGATATCTCCCAAATGAAAAATAGGAATGTTTGCATGCTTCTAAGGATCCCTTCCTGAGTTCCCTACGCTCTATCATCTATCTATCTTTCTATCTATCTTTCTATCTATCTATCTATCTATCTATCTATCTATCTATCTATCTATCTATCTATCTATCTATCTATCTCTATCTATCTATCTCTATCTATCTCTATCTATTTATCTATCTAATATCTATCTCTGTCTGTCTGTCTATCTATCTATAATCTATCATCTAGTTAGCTAGCTATCATCTCTCTGTCTGTCTGTCTACCATCTACATTGTCTGTCTGTCTGCCTCTCTCTCTCTCTCTCCCTCTCTCTAACTATCTATCTCGCAAGCTATCTAGCTATCATCTAGCTAGCTAGCTAACTATATCTCTCCAACTTTTATTATTTTACAAATAACTCAATATATTACCTGCTAAAAACCAAAATAATTCAAGGCAGAGAATATCCAACACATCTTCCTCCTCCTATTGTCCCCACAACCAAAAACCTGTGAGGTGGGTTGGGCTGAAAGAAAGTGACTGGCCCAAAATCACCCAGCTGGCTTTCATGGCTAAGGCAGGACTTGAACTCATGGTCTCCTAGTTTCTAGCCTGATCCTGCAACCACTAGACTAAGCTTGCTCTCCCCATCAGTCAATGTAAAGATCTTCTCTGACTGCTCCCTACAGGAGATATATTTATTATTTAATTATGTATTTATTAAATTTATTTGCTGCACATCTTGTTTTGAAACAAGTCTGGATGGAAGGAAAACACTAAAACGCAGAAGTTAAAATAAAATATTAAAAAAGATTAATTTATACCAAGAGCCCATTATGGTATAATGGTTAAGATTCTGAACTATGATTAAAGTTATCCTTTGTCTGTGGAGCTCCCTGAATAGCTTTGGGCAAGTTATATTCTCTTAATCCAGTCTAGTATAGAGGTGTAGGAGAAATAGAATGAGATGCATTCTGCTTCAAAGAACCATTGGCTATAAATGCAATGAAAGTTGGAATTAATGAAATGGGTGGGTTGGGTTGGGTTGAGTTAGGTTGGGTTGGGTTGGGTTGAGTTAGGTTAAGTTGGGTTGGGTTGGGTTGAGTTAGGTTGGGTTGGGTTGGGTTGGGTTGAGTTAGGTTGGGTTGGGTTGGGTTATATTGGGTTGGGTAAAAGAGAGAAAGAGAGTTTTACAAAAGAGTGCCATTAGCAGAAAGAGACACTCCTTTTTTTAAACTTACCTGAGGATCACTGAGTCGAGTGAGGTCTGGGTAAAGGTAGAAGAGTATCCCTTTAGATGCTCCAGGCAAGGAGACCCCCCTGATCAGCAGAACAATCAGCATGAGGTATGGGAAAGTGGCAGTGAAGTATACTACCTGGTAAAGACCAAAAGACACTTCATGTAAGCAATTGCTATGCAGAACAACCAGGTTGTCACAGACCAATGCTGCTTTCAGCAAGCCTAGGATGATTTTCCTTAGCCCAATGTCCTCCAGATATTTTGGGGCAGCCACTCTTAAAAATGTTAAGAGCAATGTTGGCTAGATATTCTTGGAATTGTCCTCCCCTCCTATTGGGAGGGCATCGGGTTGTGGAAGACTATGCAATACAACCTTACTCTTGCAACTTTAGCTGAGGGATACGGAAGGGTGAAAAGAAGAGATTTGCTTTAGGGATACATGTGTCATTCTTGAAATTGGAAATGTGTTATCCAGGTCTTAAATCTGAGCAGTGAATGGCGTATATCCCATTTCTTAATAATTATGTCTTATTGGGTAAGGTAATATGTAGTAGATATAAATGAAATCACAGCTGAAAAAATGACCAGGTAGTGTAAGAGGCTCCAGTATGTTCTGGAGAGCCCATATCTTGATGTGTTCTTGCATATCCTGTGCTTCATAGCTGACTGGATGCAATATCACCATTCTGCAGCGTCTTTCTTTGCCATGCTCCAATATCTAGCACAGCAGGACTGCAACAGCAATTATAATCAATGGAAAGCAATGCAATCAATGCCCATACTAAATCTTACTGTGTATATTTCTAATTTCACTAATATTTTATTCCATTTCTCCATTCCTTTCACCCAAAAGAGAAACAGAAGACACAAAATCTCTTCTCAAGGTGGGCCCTAGTAATTTTTAACAGGCACTAGGAACAGTCAGGGGGTAAAGAGAGAAATTCCATTTAAAGCACTTTTTAAATTCTACCTGCATTTCTCTCCCCCCCCCCTTCCCATTAATCCCAAAAGAACAGTATCAAAAGCTTTGGGTCCATTTGAAGGAAATACCTGCAGACAAATAGCTCATCACTCTGACATGTACCCAGTTTCTGCCTCAAAATTGGCATGCAATCTTTTGCAGAGTTTCCTGCTGGCATATTGAGTAGCTTCTAGTAAAATGCAATTCCTCCCTTTGAAAGGTTGTTCCTCTCTTATCAACATCTGCCACATTCTCCTTAGCATCTTAAGTTTTTCTCCTTAGCATCTTAAGCGTTCTCTTAATTTCAAGCAGCAATTTTATTTTAATCATACCTTTTTATTGGTGAAAATAACTAGGAACAACTTTAAGGGAATGTGTTATACAGAGCAATGATACTGGTGGTCTATGATCTTACTAAAGATTGATTTGATTTGATCTGATCTGATCTGATTTGATATTGTGGAGGGATATCCATCTTACCCTCATGTAGAAAGTTAATATCCACCCCTCTCCTGGAAGAATGAAATGTTTTGAGAAATATTAAAAAGGCAGAATGTTATATTTCCCTGGATGAGAAATGGAGAAACATGCTCTTGGAAAGCAGCCCCCATCTTCCTTAATAGCCCACAGCAGATGTCAGCACTTAAGAGATAAAGAGAAAGATAGCTCTATTAATAAGCAAATGCCCTCACCCAAGATCTCTCAGCCACAATAGGAATTGCCCAATGCCCCTTTATTGCATCACCCTCAGAAACTTCAACCAAACTTAGCTCAGACAAACTCCTAGGACATGGTCCCATGGGAGTCTGACAACAGCCAATAGAATACATGTTCTTGCACAGGAACAAGAAGTTCAAGTGCAAAGCCCAAGAGAACTTATAAACCCCCCTCACTCTCAACTCTATGTGGTCAACTTCCCAGGCAGAACCAATGGGCTTGGTGGTTCTGCTTCATCATTAAACCATCTTTCCAATCAGCCTCCAGCCTCCATTTTGTCTCCCAGTGCCTTTCTCTCAGCTTGGAATTAAACCAGGTGGATATTTCTTCCAACATTCACATGCCTCCTTTTGGAGGAAGACAGTCAAGCTGGTCCATGGCAGCAAAATTCAAGAGTCTGAAAGCACCATTCCTGACTAACAAATTTTATTAAAAGACATAAGTTGGAACTTGTTGGTTTGGGAAAAGGTGTTACCAGACTCCTCCTGAGCTTCTGACTTCTGGCTAACTTCGCAAGCCAATTCAGAACACCAGTAGATGTTCTTTCCTTCCTGCTTGACAGAGAATGTGAAAAATGTGAAACAAAAGTGAAAAAGTAAAAATAAAAAGTGTGGAGAAGCAAAAACACCTCCGCGAAAACTCTTCCCAAATGGGTAGAGCAGGACTCCCCAAAATGGTCACCAGTAAATCCCACAGGTCAATAAGATTATCCAAGGGTAGGGGTGGGCTGCTGGGGGTTTGCAGGGGTTCAGGAGAGCCCCTAGCTAAGATTCTGTGCAGTTTGGAGAACCCCCAAATTCCACTCCTGGCTGGCCCCGCCCACCACTCCCCTCCCCTCCCAGGAGTCCCCACACGGCCTGTTTTGGATGCAGGTAAGTGCAGGATGCGCACGGAGCAGAGCTGGTATTCAGCAGGTTCTGACCAGTTCTGGAGAACCAGTAGCGGAAATTTTGAGTAGTTTGGAGAACCGGCAAATTCCATCTCTGACTGGAGATTTTACAATATCCTTCCCCAGCCACGCCCACAGAACCGGTAGTAAAAAAATTGAATCCAACTACTGGTGGGGAGGCTTGGGGAGGGCAAAAAACAGGCTCCCGGAAGTCCCGGAAGGCCAGAAATGGATCCGTTTCCAGCTTCCAGAGACCCTCCGGAGTCCAGGGATGCTGTTTTCACTCCCCCAGAGGCTCAAGAAAAGCCTCTGGACCTCAGGGAGGGCAAAAACGACCCCACCCACCCCGCCATGGTGCAAGAGGCCGACTAGGCCACACCTACCATGACCACACCACCCAGCAATTTGCTAAAATTTTTGAAGCCCACCCCTGCCAAGGGGTCAATATTGGTCTTTTTATTGTTCATAAAACTATTGGTTCAAGTAGTATTTATTAAATTATTCTCATGTAATAAAGGTTTGGAGGTCTAAAACTTCATGAAGGGGCCAATGAGCTGAAGACTTTGGAGACCCCTGAATTAAAGTTGTGTCCACCTGCTGTGATGTACTTGCCAAGTTGCGGATGATTGTGCTTATTCTGTAGCATGCATGCCTATACACACACAAAAAAAAACAATTACTACCCACCTGTCTTCAATCGAGGACCTGTATACTGCACAAGCCAAAAAGAGAGCTGTGAAAATATTTACAGACCCCTCACATCCCGGACATAAACTGTTTCAACTCCTACCCTCAAAATGATGCTATATAGAGCACTGCACACCAGAACAACTAGACACAAGAACAGTTTTTTCCCAAACACCATCACTCTGCTAAACAAATAATTCCCTCAACACTGTTCAACTATTTACAAAGTCTGCACTACTATTACTATTAATCTTCTCATCACTCCTTATCACTCCTTTCTTTATGTATACTGAGAGTATTTACACCAAGACAAATTCCTCGTGTGTCCAATCACACTTGGCCAATAAAGTATTTTATTCCATTCTATACACAAACACACATATTTACTCAAACACAAACACACATATTTATTCAGACATACCTACATCATGCCAAATGTGGCAGAATCTTTATACAGCTATAGGGTTTCACCATTTCTTTAAGCCGTGGGAGGCAACTCTAAGGTATAACCACACCTTTCATTATGCCCAGTTAGGACAAGGGGAAAATGGCAAATATCCTGAGTTTGGGGCTTGTGCAACAATCAGAAATAGCATGCTCTGGGTGAGTTACAAGAAGAAAATATATAAAATGGAAACTCAAATATATCTTCAGTACAGAATCCAACAAAATAACCCAGCAGCCATAGATGTCCCTGGGGCGGCAAATGATGGCATGCATGATTGGCACACTTATACTGAAAGTTCAAATGCAAAAACCAAAAGCCAGGGTATGCATCATAACTCTGTAGTGCACGTTTCATCCATTTATTTATTTTGGTTACTGTGGATTCTACCTCGTGAGATGCCTATGTTAGCAACAATAAACACAACGGGTTGTCAACAGAACAAAAGATATTGAAGCCATCTGTCCTGTGAACTCTCCTCAACTTTTTAGGACTTTTTAGACATAGAATCAACATTTCCCAGCCCAGAGGATGGAGCACTAGTGAATAAAAGGTTCCCGAATAAAGTTACAGCATGGAATGAAATGGAATTCACCTGCACATATAAAACCATCTAGCTCAGCATGGAATTTAGCCCAGAGGTTCACAAACTCACAGTAGCAACCCCACAAGAATCAGAGGCAAATGAGGGACAGGGTTCACAAATGGTGTGTGTGCATGCTACAATATGCTTGCTATGTCTGCTTGAACAGCTCATCCAAGCGAAATCCTGGTTTTGTTCTCATGCAGTTCTAATTGCTATGTGTAAGCCTTAGGGCTGGATCACAGTCAGAATGTTTTCCTTCTGTGGCTGAACTAGTTGAAATTCAGGTAGATTTCTAGAGTTGCTGCTGTACAGATGATAACTGAATCCCATCAGAACGGTTTCGGAGACTGGAAGAGTTTAGAAAAATGTAAACCACCAGTTCAGGTCAAAGACATCCAAAGCCCCCTAAGAAAATAAAATATTGAGGAACCAATCAAGAGTGGGAAGATTCAGAAGACTCCTTTTAAAAAGCAGGGAGGCAATGCCCCATCGCTTTTCCCTTCTTGGAACTCTCTTCAATATTTCTGAAGCCAAGTAAGAACTGATAGTACAAGCATAGAAATTCAGATAAAAGATTTGAGAATTGTAGTTAAGTATAAATGAAACCTGATACAGATTAGAATTTATTGTATGGATTACGACCTGGGCTGTTTTATTGGGTTGTGTGTGTTTTCAAGGAATGATTCATTTTCAAGGAATGACTACTAAATGTAGCCTCTTCAGAACTCATTCTTCAATGCTTTCTTTTTCTCTTTCTAGCAGTTCAAAAGCATGCAAAGGCAAATAGATAAATATGTACCACTTAGGTGGGAAGGTGCAGTGGTTAGAGTGCAGTATTGCAAGCTACTTCT